CTCCATCAGTCTGTTCTTCTCCTCCTCCATCAGTCTGTTCTCCTCCTCATCCTCCATCAGTCTGTTCTTCTCCTCCTCCATCAGTCTGTTCTTCTCCTCCTCCTCCATCAGTCTGTTCTCCTCCTCCTCCTCCATCAGTCTGTTCTTCTCCTCCTCCATCAGTCTGTTCTTCTCTTCCTCCATCAGTCTGTTCTTCTCCTCCTCCATCAGTCTGTTCTTCTCCTCCTCCTCCATCAGTCTGTTCTCCTCCTCCTCCTCCATCAGTCTGTTCTTCTCCTCCATCAGTCTGTTCTTCTCCTCCTCCTCCATCAGTCTGTTCTCCTCCTCCTCCTCCATCAGTCTGTTCTTCTCCTCCTCCATCAGTCTGTTCTCCTCCTCCTCCTCCATCAGTCTGTTCTTCTCCTCCTCCATCAGTCTGTTCTTCTCCTCCTCCATCAGTCTGTTCTTCTCCTCCTCCATCAGTCTGTTCTTCTCCTCCTCCATCAGTCTGTTCTTCTCCTCCTCCATCAGTCTGTTCTTCTCCTCCTCCATCAGTCTGTTCTTCTCCTCCTCCATCAGTCTGTTCTTCTCCTCCTCCATCAGTCTGTTCTTCTCCTCCTCCTCCATCAGTCTGTTCTTCTCCTCCTCCTCCATCAGTCTGTTGTTCTCCTCCTCCTCCTCCATCAGTCTGTTCTTCTCCTCCTCCATCAGTCTGTTCTTCCCCTCCTCCATCAGTCTGTTCTTCTCCTTCTCCATCAGTCTGTTCTTCTCCTCCTCCATCAGTCTGTTCTTCTTCTCCTCCATCAGTCTGTTCTTCTCCTCATCCATCAGTCTGTTCTTCTCCTCCTCCATCAGTCTGTTCTTCTCCTCCTCCATCAGTCTGTTCTTCCCCTCCTCCATCAGTCTGTTCTTCTCCTCCTCCATCAGTCTGTTCTTCTCCTCCTCCATCAGTCTGTTCTTCTTCTCCTCCATCAGTCTGTTCTTCTCCTCCTCCATCAGTCTGTTCTTCTCCTCCTCCATCAGTCTGTTCTTCTCCTCCTCCTCCATCAGTCTGTTCTTCTCCTCCTCCATCAGTCTGTTCTTCTCCTCCTCCTCCTCCATCAGTCTGTTCTTCCCCTCCTCCATCAGTCTGTTCTCCTCCTCCTCCTCCATCAGTCTGTTCTCCTCCTCCTCCTCCATCAGTCTGTTCTTCCCCTCCTCCATCAGTCTGTTCTTCTCCTCCTCCATCAGTCTGTTCTTCTCCTTCTCCATCAGTCTGTTCTTCTCCTCCTCCATCAGTCTGTTCTCCTCCTCCTCCTCCATCAGTCTGTTCTTCTCCTCCTCCATCAGTCTGTTCTCCTCCTCCTCCTCCATCAGTCTGTTCTTCTTCTCCTCCATCAGTCTGTTCTTCTCCTCCTCCATCAGTCTGTTCTTCTCCTCCTCCATCAGTCTGTTCTTCTCCTCCTCCATCAGTCTGTTCTTCTCCTCCTCCTCCATCAGTCTGTTCTTCTCCTCCTCCATCAGTCTGTTCTTCTCCTCCTCCTCCTCCATCAGTCTGTTCTTCCCCTCCTCCATCAGTCTGTTCTCCTCCTCCTCCTCCATCAGTCTGTTCTCCTCCTCCTCCATCAGTCTGTTCTCCTCCTCCTCCTCCATCAGTCTGTTCTTCCCCTCCTCCATCAGTCTGTTCTTCTCCTCCTCCATCAGTCTGTTCTTCTCCTTCTCCATCAGTCTGTTCTTCTCCTCCTCCATCAGTCTGTTCTCCTCCTCCTCCTCCATCAGTCTGTTCTTCTCCTCCTCCATCAGTCTGTTCTCCTCCTCCTCCTCCATCAGTCTGTTCTTCTCCTCCTCCATCAGTCTGTTCTTCTCCTCCTCCTCCATCAGTCTGTTCTTCCCCTCCTCCATCAGTCTGTTCTTCTCCTCCTCCATCAGTCTGTTCTCCTCCTCCTCCTCCATCAGTCTGTTCTTCCCCTCCTCCATCAGTCTGTTCTTCTCCTCCTCCATCAGTCTGTTCTTCTCCTTCTCCATCAGTCTGTTCTTCTCCTCCTCCATCAGTCTGTTCTCCTCCTCCTCCTCCATCAGTCTGTTCTTCTCCTCCTCCATCAGTCTGTTCTCCTCCTCCTCCTCCATCAGTCTGTTCTCCTCCTCCATCAGTCTGTTCTTCTCCTCCTCCATCCGTCTGTTCTTCTCCTCCTCCATCCGTCTTCTCTCCTCTTCATCACGCTCACGCTGCTCTTCATCCTCCTGAGCTTCTCGTCTCTTCTCCTGATCACTGGTGTGGGTTCGGCCGCGGGCCGTCGGCGGTCTCTGGTCATGTGCTGCTCTGCTGATGTCATCAGCGGGCGAGGAGACGTCGGACTGGGACTGCAGACGCCTGAGATAAGACACACATTAATCCCAGGGAGAAAATTCGGTAACACTTTACAATAAGGTTCATTAGTTGATGTATCTACTAACATGAACTAACCATTAGCAATACATTTGTTACAGTATTTATTCATCTTTGTTAATGTTAGTTAATAATAATAATAATAACATTAACTAATGTAACCTTTGATTTTAATAACGTATTAGTAAATTTTGAAATTAATATGAACTAAGATTAATAAATGCTGTAGAAATATTGTTCAGTCTTAGTTCATGTTAACTAATGTAGTTAACTAATGTTAACAACTGAACCTTATTGTAAAGCGTTACCAAAAATTTCATTAAAAAAATCAGTCCAAAATGTAAAGAAAACCAGGCTGATCAGAGACGGCAGAGAGAATAGAGACTCACGGCCAGTGAATTAATCATTTCAGCGTGTGTTTCGCTTTAAAACACAAGCTCTCTCCTTTTCTGATCATTTCTGTGTGAAATACAGACTGAACATCAAAACATCCACCTCTTTATGGCCAGATGATACGCAAACTACTTTACTCGGCTGGATAAAGCAAACCTGTGCCTCGCTAGTAAAGTTCCGATGGATGCGGATTGTAATCAAGGTAAATCATAATTAACAAAATAAATCATTATATTTATGCACAGACGCATTTCAGCACATTGTTTCCACACGCATTCTGGACAATGTTTTGATTTGTCACGTGTATGTTGCTGTGTTTAGTAATTCTGAATGGATCCGTGTGCTGTAGTATATGTGTAACTGGTCTGTTGTCTGCGTTGTGTTTTTGTTGACTTAATAACAGGACAGCATTCGGCAGCTTCACAAATCTTTAATGCCTGATATACAAACAAAATGTAATCAGCCTTAGTGTGAGAGTCGCCCTCGAAATAACTCTCTCACTGCAATCATCAATGCAAAGAGGAATAAATCACAATAAAATGCATATAACAGAAAACGTACCTGATATACAAACAAAATGTAATCAGCCTTAGTGTGAGAGTCGCCCTCGAAATAACTATAAAACAAATGTGATGTACACTTATCACGTGTGCTCTCATTTCACATTTAGGCCCATAAGCAAAAATATCGCTTAATCGTAATGAAATTACAAAAATCGCCACACAGATAGGTAAAATAATATTATATATAGGAATGGCTGCCACGAAACAGTCGTTCCGAAGCTTTGCGAGATCCCGAAGCGCAGATGTTTCGAAACACTGATTCGAAGCGTGATTCAAAACACCCATGTCACGTGACTATGGCCAAACGAAGCCTCGAAAGTGTTTCATCAGGTGTGATCCGCCGAATCAGCGTTTGATTGACACGGTCGGGAACAACAGACCACACAATCGCACATCTGTATAAAAGTGAAATCAACGCATATTGACCTCGTGGGTTTTTGTGAGAGGAGTTTGATTTTGAGATAGCGGATTTTTGGTGATAGTGACATTTATAGTGCGATTTGTTTAGTTATATTTAGGCTTAAATGTACACAACACATTGACTGATAGGCTAGAGACAGAGTATAGTGACACATTAATAGATACATAGATATAAATATATAGACAGCTAGATTAATAGATAGATAGATACAGATAGATTAAAGATAGGCTACATAATATAAATACATTGATAGATTATAGATACATATTATACATATCTAATTACATAGATAGATTAGAGTTACATATCTAGATAGATTTGGATAGATAGATAAAATGGAGGCTCCCCAGAAGAGATGCCGTAGGCTACATGGTGTGGGAGCATATCCATTTAGAAACCCCAAATAAAGTGAGATGTGTGTATTGTGATCGGCAGCTCGCCTGCAACAATACATCATCCAGTAGAAACACAGGACAGGGAACTTTTTGATACTCATATCATCAAACCCAGATGATACACAATGCTACAGCTGATGCCACAGTGGAAGTGAAAAAATACATCAACGATGCGTATTTGCCCACAACTCATGATCCACTAACTTACTGGAAAGAGAGAGTAGTAATCTTTCCTCATTTGTATGTATTAGCTAAAAAATATATTTGCATGCCAGCAACAAGTGTCCCTTGTGAGAGGATTTTTTCAAAGGCTAGAGAAATTATCTGTAAAAAAAGAAGTAGGCTAAGTAAATAAAAATATGAAAAAAAGTGAGACATTGTGGCTTGATTTATTTTATTAATATTCATTTTGCAGGACCAAAATAACATTATGCACAATGAGGAGCCTATAGGTTACAATATTCACATATTAGAAAAGTACAAAACAAAAAAAAACAAAAAAAAAATTCATGGCTTGTCAAGGTTGTTTCAGATCAACACCTGCAAGTGACCACTAGGTGTCACCGTGGAGACGGGTGTCGGATTGATTCGAAGCCTCGAAACAATATGAACCATTTGATTCAACTGTTTCATTGCTTCACGAAGCCTCGATCTGCCCATCACTAATTATATACATAAATTAGAGTGAAAATATAGACATAATAGCAACAATTCAAATAGAGATTAAAGATGATTATGGGGAGCTCAAAATAACCTCACCTCTCACTGCAATCATCAATGCAAAGAGGAAGAGGAGGGGACAGAACAGGAAATTATATTGACTCATGACATCACATTAATTAAAGGGGAAGGTACTCATTCCACTTAGGCACTCATATCAGGACATGTAAACGAACAATTTTGTGTGAATTCTTATAAACTATACATACATTTAACAGTACACTTTATTTACCTGTTACATATGCAGTCAGGTCAAGGCGTGTTTGTCAATTTTAATATAATTAATTTAATTATAGTTTGCTTTATCCAGCTGAGAGTCATAGTTTGCCATCACTGCATGTTTTGACTTGCCATTCAATCTGTATTTCAAAAAGCGTGACGCGTGAGCAGTGCCGTCGCAGGTGGGGTGCGAGGCCCTGTGCGAACTTGAAATGCGAGGCCCCTCCCAGGCTCTGAACGTTAGAATAACTGGCTGCGCAGCCTACTTAGCCCTGTCCGCTTAAATGAATTATAAATAAACATAAAAAACTTATAGGCTATTTGCAGTATATTAAATCGTTTTTGACCTAATTATTTGGTACTGAAATTACACACTCTGTCGGCTCTGACGGCGTTGCATCACGTGCACCTGCGCAATAAAGCCTATGATTTCCGAAAATAGTACTATGTCAACTGATATCAGCAGCACAAGAACTGTTGAGGAAAATGCAACATAATTTAGTCAATTGTTTTTGTCATAATGTTATAATAACTGACAGACGAGGCTGAAGCTCAGCTTCGCGGTTGAGACACGAATATATTTTTCAAATGTTTAAAAGGTATTACATTGAAATCTGTTGAATAGAGTGTAAATTTAGTTCGTGGGTAGTGATTTCCATTACACGAGAGTAGATGTTAAAACTTCATGCTGATTTGTACTCGGCTTTCGCCAAGATAAGCAACACTAAGACGTAGCTTTACAGTAAACTATGCTTCTCCATCCATTTACGCTTCTTTCCACGTGGTGGTGTGACTCCCCTTCTGTCCGGCGCTAACGGCTGCAGTGTACCTGGCGCGTCAGCACACACGACGGCTGCAACTACAGTGTGGTCTCCCTAGTGGACAAGCACGACAACCGTCTGGATTGAGCCGAGTAGGGGACATCTCTAGGGTCTTCAAGTGGGCACCTTCCATCCTCAGTGTTTCGTCGACTAGCCCACGACACCTCAAGAGGGCTCGACAGTGACTCTGGCGTCCCAGAGTCACCCCCCTCCGTCCCCCACTCAACTCAGCCCAGCTTACTGACCTCTACATCCCTCCTGCTGCTGAGACCTAACCACAATCTCACAATCTCTCTGCAACCCAACCATACGCGCCAACCCGTTTGTCTAAGGCTGTCGAGCCCCACTGTTGCGTTAATATGCAGTTTCAGTGGCAACGGTTCCGTATGGCATACCACCTACCGCAAAACACAATATCTGCCCAACCACCCGTCATTCACGCAATATACACAGGAACGTAATGACTGTAAATACTATACAACCTATACAAATAAACCAACAGCCTCTTCAAGTTTTTCAAGAATTCTACGAAACCGTAGCGTGGCGGCCTGTACACAGCCAGAAGCTAGAATTCATAGCTAGAATCTTTCCTTCTCAACCACAGCCAGTTGCTGCTCCTTTCTGCTGCTTCAGATAAGTTCTTTACTGTGCGACGCAACTCTTGGCCGCTGAATCCGACGTCTCTGAGGAACCGGGTTGTAGAGTGTGCCACAAAACCTCGACAACCCACTTCCACTGGATAAACCTGGACTCTCCGTCCTCGCTGTTCTGCTTCAGTGGCCAGATGAGCATACCGCAGTTTCTGCCTCTCATATGCCTCATCTACCGCATCCTCCCATGGCACTGTTAACTCTATCAGTTGAACAATGCGTGCTGATCCAGACCACAAAACAATGTCTGGTCGTAGGTTAGTGGTGGCAATCTCAGGTGGAAAAATAAGCCGTTGATCAAGATCAGCCAGCATCTTCCAGTCCCTAGCAGCTTCCAGCTGTCCTGGGCGAGAATTGGTGTTAACACCTTTTCATGGTGGTTGCTCGCCTGGGCGGAGGAATATTGTCTTCTGCGTGTAATGTTTTGCTAGAACAGGCGGAAACTTATTGGTCATACTCAGCTTGCCTTCCAATGCTAAAGCCAAACATCGCAGTACTTGGTCATGGCGCCAAGTAAACCGACCTTGGCTAA